ATACTGAACGAATTATATTTTAAACATGAACAATTCATTTCGTATATTCTCTTTTGTAAAAAAATAAAATCTTATTTTATATTTGATATTATATTGTTTTCTCTTTTGTCCCTTAAACACTTAACACATGATAACGTAATGATAAATTTGTTAAAATGAATGATCACTTTAAATAAATTTATCTCTTGCAATGTATTCCACTATTCTATTTTACTTAGTTAAAAAACAAAAAAGAATCTTACGTTTACACGTTGGAACGTGTAAAATAGTAAAAAAAAAAAAAGAAAAACAATATTTTCTATTAAATAAATTAATTTCAACGACACACTTTTATACATTAATAAAAATTAAATCTGTGTAAGAGAAAGAGATCTGTAAAGAGAAAGAGAGAAAGAGAGAGAATCAGTCGATCCGAAAGATCAATACTTACATCGTATGACATACTGGAGGAATAAACAATTTTATAGAAAAAACAAAAAAAAGATGGAAGATGACAATAACCACAGCAATACTTTCTATTAATTTAAACGATCTGCTTATATATTATTTATAAAGATTCCAGTTGAATTAGTTGATAGAAAAGATACCGTTTAAAAAACTGTTTTCGAAACTGTCGCCATCTCTCGTCAAAACTAAACATTACTTTAACGTAATGTCACGTGTTTACATTGGCGATTACATGCGCGTCACACTAAAAAAATTGTTTCTCTCTCTCTCTCTCTCTTTTTCTCTCTCTCTCACTCTCTTCTCTCTCTTTCTCTTTGATTCGTTTTTCCTTCAGATTCAGAGCGATGGCGGCGAGCAATAGTGCGGCGTACAGTTTGTTAGGGGATCTGCGAGTGTCCGTGCTAGAGCGTTAACTCGCTCTTAACCACAAATTCGCAGATCCGACTTGGACACGAAGGCGAACAGTCGAACACGAAGGAACTGCAATTCTACGTTTTGTTGTAAAACTCATTGCTATCTAAGAGGGACGAACGAAATATAACCTAAAATCTATTTCTTGAGATTTTTTTAAAAGGGGGAACGAAAGAGAAAGAAAAACGAAGAACATAAAAAATACGGTGAGTACCGAGTATTAACAAATCTTTTCTTTTTTTCTGTTGACATTTTGTACTAAAAAAAAAATATATATATATACATATATAGATAGAGAGAGAGAGAGAGAGAGAGAGAGAAAGATGGGAAAGAGAGAGAGAATTTCTTTTTTTTCTCTCTTTCTCTCTCTGTCACACACACACACACATTCACTCTGTCTTTCTGTCTGTCTGTCTGTCTTTGCATGTCTCTTATAGCCGTCAGTAAAGCTAAAATTTATTTCGTAACGAAACGCCTACAGTTCTTTTAATGAGTGTCACGTAATGTATCTTCAATAATAGATATTTTTTCCTTTCGTCGAAGTCGTATAAAAACTATAAATCGACAAAATTTTCAAGATTTCTCCTTTTATCAAACACAGTGCATATGGAATTGTACTTGTATTACATATTTGTAAAATGTATCTTTGGGCACATGTATCTTATACATTTTGATATACATACATATATACATATACATATACATATACATATGTGTATCTCTGAGAACATCGAAAAAAAAATCGCATGAATTCGTTCGTTTCATTACTTTTGATCTTCGCATCGTTTCTTTTATTATTATTCGATCTTGAAAGGGAATAAAACATGAAATATTTCATTTTATTCATTTATTATTTTTTTTTTCTTTTTTAACAAAAAGAATAAAAAAGAAACAAATAAATGATTTCAATTTAATCAAATACAATGATTTTTCTAATGCGATAATAAACAGCATTCATTGCGATCTATCAATAAAATGTCCGACATTAACACGAGAGAGAGATAGAGAGAGAGAGGGAGAGAGAGAGAGAGAGAGAGAGAGAGAGAAGAAACACCTTGCACCGATAAAAGGTGAACGTATTGTAAAATTTCTCACACAATCAGTTTCGTTACTGGCTCCTTTACCCTTCCCATTTCCCCTCCTCTCCGTCCCCTCTCCGCTCCTACTTACCCACCCTTATTCACTCCTTTCACATAACATTTTTTTATTTTCACTTACTCCTACTACAGCCGTAGTCTTTTAAATCGTAATATCTTTAACTAAATGCGGTCACTTTCTACACTGTTTGGAACGGAACTCATATTGAAAACTAGATCTTAATTTTCTTTCTCTCTCTTTCTCTCTCTTTTTCTCGCTTGCTCACTCGTTCACTTACTCACTGGTTCACTTGGCCTTTTTTCAGTCCCTTTTCTTATCGTTAAAAATACACGTGAACATAAACGGTGAGATAGATTGAATTTATCGATCAAGAAGGATTTTTTTTCTTTTCCTACTTTTTTTCTCTTTTTTTTTTTTGGAACCCCTCATATACCACATATATTCCTGTTAATTTATAACGATTTGCTATAGTTGATCCAATTGACGCCAATATTGTCCCTACCCTACGACGAGTAATTCGTATTTCCTAAGTGCATAGAAACCGTTCATGACATGTATGTATGTGTGTGTGCGCGCGCGTACGTACATCTTATACATATGCGTAAATATGTATATGTATGTTTATATATATATATATATATATATATATATATATATTTGATATATCAATAAATATACATAGTTGAATGTATTCACGAGTTCCCATTGATCGATACTCTCTTTTTGTTTTTCTGTTTTTGTTTTTCTTTTGTTTTTTGTTTTGTTTTGTTTTTTTTTCTTTTTTTTTTTTTGTATACGTAACTAGAACACTAAAAATTCGTTATCTATTCAAACTACTTACATACTTACTTATAATTGTTTGTTGTATTGAACAAATAAATTCACAGTATATACACGTTAGATCGATATATATAAACCTTTTTTTGCTTCCTTCAATTATTTATTCTCGTTCCATTGCCATGCACAGTTACGTAAAACCATCGCTAATGATGGCTGCCTTTTAAACTCACTAATGAATCTCAATTGGTAATAAAAACGATCGATAATTTGCGATATATTCCTTTCTCCCATTTTACTGTGAAATCTTATTATGAACTCTCTCTCTCTCCCTCTATCTCTCTCTTTCATTTTATCTCTATCCTTATCTATCTGGTTTTCACTCATATCCACTAGGGAATATTGGAATTTCAATATTAGAGATTCCTGTGGCGTGACAAATTGCGGTCCTGCTCGTTCGAAGGTCCTTATGAAGTCTTTTTCCTCCTTCCTTGTTCCTTAACCCGCCATATTAACAATTAGCTTCTATCCTCCTTTTGAGGTTATGTTTCCATTCTTTTTATTGTTTTTCTTTTTTCTTCGAAATGTTCGTCTTCTTTCTTCTTTTTTCTTTTTTATTGAATCATTATTAATAGCATTTATCATTTTATTTATAATACTTTAATAATTGTGAAAAAATATTCCTAAATATTTATTTTTATATTTTTGTATTATTTTGTTTGTTTGTATATTAAAATTGATTTTTGTTTTGTATATATACATGGGCGTACAAAAAACATGAGATCAAACTTATATTATGTATTACCGAGATTAAATAGATAATAAAAGTTCATATAAACTTATATCCGAAAATACCTTATTGAAATGATACATGTTTTTAAAGATATTTATGATTTATTATAACAGTTATAAGAAATGTTAAAAATTTTTTTGTTTTGTAAGAATGCAGTCTTCCATTCGTTGAATTAATGATTGTCAAACTCTTTCAAATATTCCAACTGTATTGGAAATAAATAATAAATGCATTTAGAATTTCTCATTATACATAAGATGCATAAATGAAATCTAAAGGTTAGGATATGTAAATAACTATTATTGAGTATTATATACTACATATACGAAAAAAAAAATCCAAAAGAAAGTATTTGACAATCATTAATTCAACAAATGGAAATAAATCATAAATATTTTTTAAAAGCATATATCTTTTCAATAAAGCATTTCCGGTATATTTTCAATAAAGAAATAAATTTATATGAACTTTTTTCATCCATTTATCCTCAGTAATACGTAATGTAAGTTTGGTTTCATGCTTTTTGAACATCTTGTATATATAATCGATCATTCAGTTATCTCATAGATTATTTTACAAAAAGCATCAAAACTATTAGTCATCAAATTTATCGTAATTTATTACTACGGCATGACTTTAACGAAAAAATTATGAATGTAATATGGAAAAAATATTTATCCGCATTATCTATTTTATCTTTCGAAAAATAAAATGTTTATATATTCTAAACATTCTCAAGGATTAATTACAAATTTGACTTTAGACTATTATTTACTTTTAAATAGGAATACGTGAATCCAGATATATACGTAATATTATGTAAATACTAATTGTTCTATCCATAATTATGAGAACGATTTTATTTACATTAAATGCAGATATATATTATCATTTTTTTTTTCTGTCATAGAAAAATAATTGATTTAAAATGGATATTTTTTTACTAAATGAAGAATTTAACAACGAGACCACTTTTTTCCTGTTTTTTCTTTTTCTTTTTCTTTTTTTTTTTTTTTTTTTTTTTTTGTTAACCACAAAACGATATCTTTATCGGTGACTTCGACTGTCCGTGGTTTCCGGAACAAAAATATTATTGACTAGAATAAAACATGGTTTTATTATTCAGAATATATATTTAATAATCATATATATATATATATATATATACATTATTCCTGAGATCATTTATAAATCCTTTATTATAAATTATATTAAAATCTAATAGTTTAATAATAATAATTCATGTAAAAAAGATATATTTATATGTAATATAAAAAAGTATATAATTAAAGTATTAAATATAAATATCAATGTGTATGTGTGTGATTTTTGTGTCAATTATTCTACTTATATATTACAATTATTAGTTTAATAATTAATAATGAAATAATAATCCATATAATAAAGCATTTATAAATTATCTTGGTAGTTATCTCCAATTGGAGAAATATATATATATATATATATACACACCACGTATATTATGCCTTCGTAACGAGGTATGTGCATTTAATTATCACCGTGCTTTCTGTAATTCTCCCTTTTAACTCAACACAGTTCCAATAACTTCGTTAGCGTCACGAAAACGTAAACGATACAATGGGACTTCTATCGCCATTTTATTTTTATTTTTATTCATGTATTTTTTTCTTTTCCATTTTTCTTTTTTTTTTCTTTTTTTTTTCTTTTTTCTTTTTCGTTCATTATTCCTAACCTAAGAAATTCTATATTTGTAATTCCTTGAAGAACATTGTGATGATATATACGTATCAGTAAGATGATTGGTTTAATTCGTTAATGACGAATGAGATTTTTGCCGGGAAAAATTCGAATGAAATTAATCCGACCTGTCGCAATGAGTTATCGTTTATAACTAATCGTAACGTATTTATCTTAATAGCGTTAAAAATAAACCGTTCAACTCTTTCTGTTTCTTCCTACCATTCCTTTTTTTCAATAAACAATTTATCAAACGTTTATACTTCACAAAGGTCGCTGACAATGCGCTTGTAACTGTAATCTTGTATATATATGAAACAATATGTCCGATGTTTAATCAGTGGATAAGACTAGAGAGTGAGAACGAGAATAAGAATGAGAGAGGGAGAGAAAAAGAGAGAGAGAGAGAGAAAGAGAGAGAGAGAGAGAGAGAGAGAACGAAAGTAGGCGTCACCTTTCTTATTTCTTGGCATCGATTTAAAAAATTCTATTCTTTTTCTTTTCTTCGTTTTTATATTTTTTCCTTTTCGCTGTTTGGTTTACTTAGAGATAGCAATAGAGAATTGTTTGGATTAATCAATTTTTTTTTTGTATCAATGAAATATATAACAAGATTTCTTTAAGGTTAGATCGACAAAATTGAATTATCATTCTTTTTTTCTTTTTTTTTTTCTTTTTTTTTTCTTTAATCGTTAAAAATATTTTATATTTTTGATATTAATTTTAAGTTTAGTTTGAGAATTATATATATATATATATATATATATATATATATATATATATATATATGTTCATTTTGTTTTATAAAAATTTTTACATTTCGGTAAATATTTTAACATTTGTATATTACTAATAATTCGTAGAAAATGAATACACATAATATCAGTTTTTCGTTAAAGACTGTTAATTAAAACCGAATATTTAATTAGGCCAAGAACAGCTACGTTTCTTATAAATTATAAATACTATTTTTATATGTATGTGTATATATATATATATATATTAATATATATATATATATTTATATATGTATGTATGTATGTATGTATGTATGTATGCGCGGTTATGATGTTTGCGTTTGTTTGCTATGTCATATCTTTTTAGATAACAACAAATTTTTAAAGAAAATACTTAGCAAAACAGTTTCGCTTATTAACAATGTATCAGCGCATTAATAGAAAATGGATGAACCAATAGAAAAAGAAAAGAGAGAAAGAAAAGAAATATCGGAAGTTCAAAATCTCATTTTTTTGTGTTATATATTTAAATTTTTTAGGTTATGTTTAAATCAAATTCAAATAGAACATACATATTTATAAAATTCAACCGTGAAATGAGAAATGAATCTTAAACCTTACTTGACACCTTCATCTACATATGTATATTTCCTTTTTGATCGCCTCTTCGTACTTCCTTCGTTCATAGGTATAATTTTACAAACATAATTGAAGTATCCTCGAAACATATCATATTTCGTTTAAGAATGAGTTTAATTGTCTCTATTTCTCTCTCTCTCTCTCTCTCCCTCTCCCTCTCCCTCCCCCCCTCCCTCCGTCTCTCTCTTTCGCTCTTTTCTGAGGTTATATTACGAAGAAATCATATTTTTGCTAATAAAAGAAGTAATAATAAAAAAGAAAGTAAAGAATAAAAAAGAAAAGAGAGAGAGAGAGAGAGAGAGAGAGAGAGAGAGAGAGAGAGAGAGAGAGAGAGAGAATAACTTTTTCACTATTTCGTATAGCATTAAAATCGTTATATCCGTGTATATTTCGTAGATTTAACGCGAAATAAACGTAGTTTCTTCTTCGATATTGCAACCAAGCTTCGAGTAATACTTGAGGTAACGTTCTCTCTTTCTCTATGTCTTGCCCTCTCTCTCCCTCTCTCTCTCTCTCTCTCTCTCTCTCTCTTTCTCTCTCTCTTACCTTAGCATTAGAATGGAATGTTCGCTCGATGTCAGTGTAAAAAAAACACGACGTCAGTCCTATCATCAGGAGATCTCCTTTAGAAAGTCTCTACCAACTTCGTTTTTTATCGTAGCACTTCGTTCTGCTTGCATGATCACACAAGTCATGAACCGTTTCTCTCTCTCTCTCTCTCTCTCTCTCTCTCTCTCTCTCTCTCTCTCTCTCTCTCTCTCTCTCTCTCTCTCTCTCTCTCTCTCTCTCTCTTCACGAATATACAATGTCCACAGTCAAGCTGGCAACTTCAGAGAAACGGATTTTTTATGTTTTTTTTTTATCTCGGGTTAGATATTAAAACGAAAAATGGGTTTTTTTTTTCTTTTTTTTTAATCATTTACCAAACTGTTAATAATATTGATGAAATGAATGATTGAGAAATGATTTTAGTGAAATAAGATAGCTCTATCAAATATTTCTGAGTTACAAATTGATATTATTATTTTTTGTTTTTTTCCTTTATAGATCATTCGACAGTAATAAAGTTAAAGATGAATTTCTCTCATGCAGCTCATATGTCTCATGAAAATATGGATCATGGGAGTATGAACCATGCTGGCATGGATCATGTAAATATGGACCATGCAAATATGAACCATGCAAATATGGACCATGCAAATATGGATCATGGAAATATGAATCATGCTGGTATGGATCATATGGCTAGGGGTAATGTGCAGAGCTCAGCAGGTGCTACGAGTGGTTGCAATAATATAGGAATGCATGGTATGTCGGTACGTATTTATATCATTAATCACTAATGAGGAAAATCATTTTTCTTCCTTTTTCACAAGGTCTCGATTTTATATTTTTAGATGGCTTTTCATGGCGGCTACTGCGAGACTGTACTATTTGAATCTTGGAAAATAACGTCGATCGGTGGTCTCGTTGGTTCCATGATTGGTATAATAATTATGGCTACTCTTTATGAGGGTTTGAAGTATTACCGGGAATATCTTTTCTGGAAGACGTATAGTTCCTTACAATATAGAAGCGTTACGATGCCTCAAGAGAAAAATGTTGTTGCTGAAGATAATAGAGTTGTCCAGTGAGTTCCAATTTCTACGTATTAATAATATGTATGTAGACTAGTTGTATATTAAGTATAATTATACAACAAACAATATTTATTTAATTAGCTTATCCATTTTGCCCTTTTTAGTATGGTCGGTGAGGTAATCCATAAACGGCCGTAAGTAAATATATTTTGACGGCCTGCTAAATTTTAATTTATTTAGTTACAGTTCCATGTGATGTCTTTAGTATTTTGATATTATCCAATATATTTCATCACAATGAGCTCTCTTCTCTAAGTAATGCTTATCTTTTCGACGTTACCGTCTTTTTCTTTAACAATTTTGCACGTTCAATGTCTTGATGAATGTTGTCAATTGTTAAAAAAAAAATCTTTACAATTAAATACTATTTTCTTTTGTAATTGTTTTTTCATTGTCGTTTCTATAATGTATTAAGCATGTCTATTCTGCAATGTAGATTCTTTTCTATTTTATTATTTATTTTCTATAAGGCGATTGAATGTTCAATATTTAAGAAATTACGATACAAAACAAAATATTACTTCTTCTTGGAATTTTCTAGCTTTGCATTGCAAATGATTTCTGTTTACTTTTCTTGCTAGCTTCAATGGGTTTTGCATATTTATTAATGTATATTATCTTTTTATAAATTGTATATATATATATTTATATATCTTATATAAATATTTTTATATATATATATATATAAATATTATTTTAATTGTATATGTGTGCAGGCCCACAATGCTGTCATGGATGCATTGTTTCCAAACGTTCCTGCATATCATACAAGTCATCCTTTCTTACTTTTTAATGCTGATCTTCATGACATTCAACACCTGGCTCTGTTTCGCAGTAGTATTGGGTGCTACCCTTGGTTACTTCCTTTTTGGATGGAAGAAATCTGTAATTGTGGATGTTACAGAACATTGTCATTAATAATTGATATAGTGGCATAATCCAGTTTTTCTATTGCTCCATTGTATATATTATTATGTTGTATGATGATTCTTTTTGCAAAAAAGAAAATATTCAAAATCAAATACAACATGAGATAGAAATGTATGAGATGTACATGGAAACAACTTAGTACATTTTGTGGTTCTATGCAAGAGTCTTTTATGAGTACTGAAAGTAAATTGTTGATTTTCAACTAAAAGATTTTTACAGCTATAAATATTATATATATATATATAGAATCACAAATAAACTATGATTGTACAATTATCTTACTTAATTGTATCCTATTGAATACAGATATGCACATTTGCTGTTATACTGAAACCGAATGGGACTTATTTTTTAAAATAGAATTAGAAATGTATTGCAATGTGATTAATTATGATAATTTTGCAAAAAGAAAACAGGGAGCTAGAATCTTAATATTTCTATGTAAGATACATAAATACATTTACATATATATATATATATAATATATATAATTATATAATAATATATGAAATATAATATTATATATATATTTATATTATTGTAAATATTAAAAACATTTAAATAAGAAACGCGTGTTTCGTGTGAGATGCATATCTTTTTTCAATCACATTTCCTCATTTTATTATTACTTTAATAATTATATTTGCTAAAGAGAGACTTGTAAAGACTATTTGTTACATTAATATTTGAAAAAGAACATAAAGTATTGTATTGAAGATACATGTATAAAATAACTTATAATGCAGTTTTGTGAATTGAGCTATTACTTTAAATTAATTAATTAAATAATTAAGATGATTTGTAAAGCATACGAAGGAAATTTCGTAAAAAATATTACAATAAAAGACATCTATACTTCATATATTTTTTTCAATTAAATAAATATTAATTAAATAAATATTTATTGAAAATTCTATCTTAAAACCTTTTAAATTGTATAAACAAAATTTTAATTCCACCATAATGGTAAGTAATAAACATAAATTCGTAAATTAGCTTTTTTTTTATATAAATTAAAAATAACATCTGTTCATAATTATGTGGATTTCGACGATGACCAAAGTTAATACTTCATTATTTTATTATAAATTTATAGGTTTCACATAGAGCTATACAAAAAGCACCAGCATGCACATTGTGTACAGAATTGATTTAAGTTTTGTCGCTTAAGAACAATCTGTCATACAATAAATTTATATACTTCTCTTTGCAGTACATAACACATTTCTAAAGCTTTGAAGTAGAGTTCTATTGCTTTAAGAATGTATCACATATATACACACTCATCCAAAAAGCTTTGTTTTATTATTATTATTATTATTATTATTATTATTATTACTATTATATTATTATTATTATTATTATTATTATTATTATTATTATTATTATTATTATTATTATTATTATTGTAGGAAAATTGTTAAACAGTTAGCGCAAAATACTCTGCATTTCATCTCATACAAATGCCAAATTAATATGTATATATATATATAAATGTATGTATATGTATGTATATATATATATATATATATATATACACATATATATACATATATACATATATATTGATAATCTAAAGGAGTATATCATAAATAGAAATATAGTTATTATACTGCTCCTCATTTTATACTGCAATGATAAGGCAAATTTACGTTACGAAGCTAAATTACAATTTATATATGTTTGTCTTACATAATAAAACAATTTATAATTATTATTATTACTATATTTATCACAAGCCAATGATGTATATAACACTTAAAATACTGTCAATAGCTCACGAGTTGTATAAAGCACATTTTGAAATATTATAAATCATCCTTTTTTCTTTTTTTTTGTTTTTTTTCTTTTTTTCTTTTTTCAATGTTCCAGTGGTACATATCTTACATGTGAATTTTTACAATTTATGTAAGGTATTCGAAGATAGATATACAGAGCACATACTAGAAGAATAGCAAATTAACTAACAGTCCTGTTAAGTAAGATTTGTGCAAAACTTTAGTAACATAAATATCTTTCTTGAGAATATCTAACATATTTCATATAACACACAAGAAACATTATATTGAAATATTTTGATGGATGTACTTGAAATTATTTCTAATGTCTTTATAGAAACTTTGGGCTTGTAATTAACCGAGTATTGAAGGCTGGCAAGATTCTCTTCAAATTATTTTGTTAGACCTAGAAGAAAAAGCACGACACGTGTAAGAGGCGTGTTTTAAACATAGAATCTAGGTAAAAAACATAAAAATAATAAAATAAAATATAATTACCTAATCAAAAATTAATAATAGTCTCATTTTAATCGAATAAAGTTACAAAATGATTTTGTTTCGTGGAGAAAAATTCACAAAAGAAAATGGACTGTCAGTTGGTGAAATCAAGGAAAATAAAAATCTCTTACATCTTTTGGTACAATGTCCTTATACATCCTAAATATAGTAAACACCATTTTAGGGATTAGTTCAATTTGAGACGCATTATGTTCCTTCCAAATGCAAACAAACTCTAAGTGTTCCTTCCAAAAATGTTGATTCGTATCATAAATATTTCTTATCATGTCTATCTTCATACCACCCATTTCAGTTAGCTGGTCACAAATGTAGATCTTGGGGAAAATGTTTCATGCATTATTTCAGTGAAAAACAAAAAAATAATTAAAATTCAAATCTGTAACCTACTCAGCACCAGAGACAGGCATACAGCAACTGGAACGTTGCGGAGACAGCTGTTTAGAAAGGTCGACAGTATCTTCTACTAACGGATGTTCTAATCTAGCCTCCAGTCGTGCCCATGCAGCAACAGCAGCTGCAAATGCTGCTTCTACATTTGTTGCATCCTTTGCAGACGTTTCGACCAATGGTGGATCTCCATTTTCTGCACACCATGCTCTGGCTTCTTCTGTGGTTACTTGTTTTTCAGATTCCAAAACATCCACCTGAAGAAGTCATATATATGATTGAAGAAATTGAATAGCAATTTATTAAATTTAAAACAGTTTTATCTTTTTATGTATTATAATACATACCTTATTTCCCACAACTATAAATGGAAAAGTAGATGCTTCTTCGACATCCGCATAATAAAGAAATTCTGATCTCCAGAGAGCCAAATTTTTAAAACTTGTTCTATCATCAACGGCATAAGTCAAAAGACAAATATCTGAACCTCTATAAAATGGAGTTCTTAATGTTTTAAATCGTTCCTGCCCTGCAGTATCCCATATTTGTAAAGTATAAGATTCGCCATTGATTTCTATATCCTTGTTTAAAAATTCTACTCCGATAGTGTAAAAATTATATTCATCAAAACGATTCGATACAAATCTGTTCATAAGACAAGATTTTCCAACTCCGCCGTCACCCAAAATCACTACTTTTAAAAGTGTAGATCTTTGTGAATTACGATTATGTATGTTCCCACTTCTGAGTGTATCAGCTGTCATTGTATTGTTTCCAGACATTTTATATATATCTTTGAATCAACTTATGAGATACAATAATACAAATTTTTTTTCTGTTTCAGCCTCTTCGTCCTTTTCTTATAAAAGAGTAGATCTTTTTGAAATGTCATATAATTTTCAATACAATGAGATTATTTCTTCAATATTTTTTTTTCTTTTTTTATATAAAGAAAATCAACTAATTCGAATATCCAGGTACGATGATTTAAAATAGTAATTATCTTATTTCGACGACATAATATTATTTGTAATTTGGTGTCCGTTCCTCATTCATTTAAAAACGAATAAATAGCATAGTAGCACGCACACTCACACATATATAATTTTCACTTGACGACAAGCATAACCTTCTCTCGATGCTTTTTACACGCACTATCTTCCTTTCAAATATCTTCCTTTAATACATATATTTATTACAATACAATTACGATAATTTCTTTTATAATAATTAATTATTGAATCACAGAAACCTTTGATATATACCAGCTCAAATCTCCTTGTATATGTATATCATATTACGGATGACTATTGTACATAAGAAATGTACGTTTTTCGTCGATAAAAATAACGTAATCACAGAAAAATATTAAACAATGTTCATTAATTCAGATCTTTCTTTAAAACTTTTGTACTAATTATTTTTAATTATAACGTATCACTAATCCTGTCCATCTTTAAAAAACACAAAGCATTTGACACTTTGCAGACGACAAAAAGGAACGCCCATGTTGGATTCTATGACTAAATCAAATATGGCTGCCAGAAATTATAAATACTGTTTTTACCGGTAACTATAGAACTTATAGAAAGAAAGACAAAAAAATCTTACGAAACTAAAAGTAATACAATTCTCGTTATTTCGATCTTTCAATTTTAACAGATATAAGATGTTTTTGATAAAATTAAAATAAAATATGAAGGTTTTCAATCATTTATATTGTCTATATTGTGATTTTTTAAATGCAATATAAAACGAAAAGGAAGCCGAATTAGCGTGCTATTATATAAGAAAATAGAAAATATTATATACGTTTTATATACGATGCTATTATTACGAATGCGTAATAATAAATTAGATTTTTCAACAAATTGATTGCTAAATGTTTTATAACATGCGTTATATTAAACAATCCTTTTTTTTTTTTTTTTTTTTTTTTAATAAATATACACAACGTGTGATTATAATGAATATTGTATTAATGTAAAATAACAAATATTTACTACGAATAAAAGAAGTTCCACCATTGCGAACATTTCCAGCCAAATGAATCATCCATAACAAATATTAAGCAAGCCGCCTGAATATTGGATTTGTGTACATGTGCGTTTGTCGCTAATGCGCATGCCCTATGACTTTACGACTTGTTTATATACCTATAAAAAAAAAATTGATTTCATCTTTGCTTTCTTAAAATAAATATATTTATTTCTTTCAACAAAAGTTTATACAAGATTAATAATATGTTATTTTATTTTTTGTCAAATATAATTTTTATTAAACTTTTTTTCAAACGTTAAACGTTTTAAAATTTTCTATCTAAATTATATATAAAAATTAATACAATTTTAATCATAATCATAGAAATTTTTCTAATGAATTAATAAATCGATATTAACCATGTGTCAATTATAAATATACGATAATTTATTTTTTAATTACTTTTTTAATTAATTTCTTTCTAACTTCTACAGATTATCGTAATTTTCAACTTTTGTAAAAATTATTTATGAATTTGTAATCAATACGTTATTTTTATTTCATTAATTACTCGAGTTTGAATTGAAATATAAAATCTAAAATTATAATCAATCAAATTTACAATTGGTCTTCAGGTTGTTCATTATCACTGGTTTTATAATGATTTTACGGCATCAATGAGAGGTAATTGAGGTGTAATTCTTGATCGACTTTGATGAACAAGATCTCATTTTAAAAACGAAAGTTTTAATTTAGGACTTCAATTTTTCGAATTTTTGAAAAGATTTTATTTTCTTTGAAAAAAGTCGTGTTAACGAATGATATTTTTTTTTGTGAATAATTTATGCGCAAATAAAAAGCTTTTTGAAACATTCGATAAAGTTGAGTCTTAGATTAAATGTTCGTCTTTAAAATCAAACCTTGTTCATCAAAATCAGTCTAGAATTACGTCTATTTTCATTGATAAATAATGATCATTATAAAACTGAATAGTCTTAAATGAAAAGTATAATTATATGTAGATTGTAAGAATAAGTTGGTATCACTGATTTTACCTTTTGGGCAGATATGCTTTACAAAGCGATGGACGTTTCGTTGTAATTTTTGATTGTAAAGAATTGAGGTGTATTTAAAAAAAAACCATGTAGTTTTTACATTTTTATTAAATGCAGTGAAAAGATGAGTTAAACAATTTTTAAATAAAAAGTAATACTAAGCAAGTAGTTTGTTAATGATACTTTTAATAAGTGTTAGTAATAGATACTGTGCATTTTCTCAGTGATTAGTAGAAGGTAATGATAATATAAAATTATAAAATTACTTTATCTTTAAAAATAGAAACAATGATATTTATATTAATATTTATTTCTCATTTCTTATATATAGTTTAATTACATAACCTATTTTGACATAAAGTTGTTTATATGCCATCTCTTTAATGACGTTTTATAAATATAATATAATTATATAACTTATTTTTGATATAAAGTTATTTACAAGTTATTTTTTTTAAAAATAATATTTAAAATTCTTTAAAAATAATAATCATTTTTCTGTCACTTGATCTTAACTTTTAAACTTCTAGGTAAATTTCATTGTAAAAAATGGCAAACCTTCCACCAAATACTGGACAGCAGTACTTTTGGAATTCCGGCATTACACAAATGCAAAATGTAGGATATTATTCTATACCGTCATCGAATTTTCCACCTCCTAATTTTAATCAACCACCGCCAAGTTTCCCTCCAACTAATTTTAATCAACCTCCGCCTTCTTATAATATGCCAGTTACGGCTATGCCAGAAGACAAGCCAACGAATCAATTTATGTCATTTCATACTGTTCCTTCTACGTATCAAGATAATACAGCTACCACATATACAGATGATTCATTTTCGAATCAAACAACAACGCAATGCAATAAGAATTATTACCCATCGTCATTTTCTCAATCTGAGAATTTTAATACAGAAAATTTTAATTCAAATTGGAATTCTAGAAATATATATACTGATAATTTTAATAATGAATGGAATACTAATAGCTCATCAAGTTGGTCAACAATGCAAAATAATGCTACATCTTGGTCTGAAGTTAATATATCACAAAAAGAAAGTCAAATGGTTTTGGAAAGTTCACAAAAAAACAAAACGTCTGAATGGAGATATAACGGTATATCTGAATCATCCAGAAGTCATACAAGTAATAGAAAACGTTCTAAAACTCCTGAAAATAGATCTAGATCTAGTAGATCACCGCGTAGATCACGATATGAAGAGCAAAGGGACAAATATAAATATAAAAGAGATAGATCAAGTTCAAGAGATTATTCACATGATAATGGAGATTCCAAACGAAGATGTTCATATAGAAGATATAGCAGTCATGTATCATCCTCTGAAAGATCATACGTAAGTAGTAGAAGCAGAAGAAGATCAAGATCTCCAGATTATCGATCTTCTAAAACAGTTAGTCCAAATAGTAGTAGTTCAATGTTGAAAACAAAGTGTCCAACTGAACGAGAATTATTACTAGAAAAATATAGGTAAGTAAATCTAATAGAATGTTAATTGTGTACATTGAAAAACGAATCTATATACAATTTTATTTAATTAGGCGAAATTATTGCGCGACCAGCAAAGATATGGAAAGAAAAATGGATGAATTATCGGCAATGGGTCCAGAAGGTATAATGGAAAATGAACGTAAAATTTGGACTCGTACTGCACCAGCAGATTTATATTATACAAGAGATGATACTAATCCAAAAATAATGAAGGGGACACAAAAATTACGTGATTTATGCGATTTATTTAAAGAAATACTTATAGATAGAGCAGCAGCAGCACGTGCATTACAGGCATGTTCATGGATATTAGATAAATGACTATTTAATCAATTTTAATAATAAAAAAAAAAAAGAAAGAGTTATAATAAATCAGGTTTAACTTATATTATATTATTTTTGAAGCCTCCATATGAGCCACCACCAAGAAAAACTAAAGCACGTCTTTGTAAACATAAATCAGAAGCTTGTAGTAGTTCATCATCAGACAGCGACAGTTCTATGGATGAGGATGACAGAACAATGGAAGAATTAATGACCAAGAAGCAACATCCTCAAAGATTACATCCTGAAATGTGGTTTAATGATCCTGGAGAGGTAACATTTGATGAATTTAAAATAATTCTTTTATTTTTATCATATCTATTAACAAAAACTTCTCATTTCCACACAGATGAATGATGGACCATTATGTAGATGTAGTGCCAAATCACGAAGATCTGGTATAAGGCATGGAATTTATGCTGGCGAAGGCGCAATAAATAAATGCAATCTAAACTCAAATAATGCCGATAAATTATATCATTATCGAATTACAATCAGTCCTCCAACTAATTTTCTTACTAAAACTCCAACAATTATAAAACACGATGAACATGAATTTATATTTGAAGGATTTTCTATGTTATCACACTTTCCTCTTGTAAAATTACCAACATGCAAAGTAATACGATTTAACATAGAATACACAATTCTCTATATAGACGAAAAATTGCCTGAAAATTTTACTATACAAGAATTGGATTATTTTCGTAAGTATATATTGAGTTTTAATATCTATTATCAATTATTTTCAATATTATTATCATAATGTATATTTTCTTTTCTCTCTCTCTTTTTTTTCTTTTTTTTATTTCATTTTTTTTTTTTTTTTTTATATATAGAAACATATTTATTCCGGGAAATATTAGAGCTTGTAGATTTTGATTTACAAGCTGCCCAAGATAAATCTGGCTGTGGACAATTTCACTTTATGCCAAGATTTGTACGTGATTTAGCAGATAATGGGCAAGAAATTTTATCTATGAATGAAGTTTTAAATTATTTAATAAAAAGTAGTACTCTTTTAATAGATCCAGAAGATCTACCTAGATTAATTGAAATGCCGCAATATAAATGGCAAAATTTTGCCGACGAAGTAAAAGGAATGGTTGTAACATATCCTGGAAAGAAACCATGTAGTGTTCGTGTGGATCAACTAGATAGAAATCAAGTTGATCAACCACCAGGAGTGATTGGTTATCCTGAAATTGTACATTTTGGTATAAGACCACCACAGCTTAGTTATGCTGGAAATGCGGAGTAAGTATTATTCAATCAATTATTTTTTTTTTAATTATTTCATTAATACACGTTATTATTCTTTTATTAATTTATTTTCATTTTAGTTATCAAAAAGCATGGAGAGATTACGTTAAATTTCGGCATTTATTAGTTAACATGCCTAAGCCATCTTTTGAGGATAAGAGAAAACTCGAAGCAAAAGAGAATAAATTACAAGAGTTAAGAACACAAAGTAAAATGAAACGTAATGTAACGGTTGATGTAAGCTCTGAAGGTTTTTATAGGACAGGCATTATGTGTGACATAGTACAACATGCCATGTTAATACCTGTACTTGTATGTCACTTAAGATTTCATAAATCTTTGGATAATCTTGAACGTACATTGGGTTATGAGTTTAAAAATAGATATCTTCTTCAACTTGCTTTAACTCATCCCAGTTATCGGGAAAACTTTGGTACAAATCCAGATCATGCTAGAAATTCATTAACTAATTGTGGAATAAGACAGCCAGAATATGGCGATCGTCGAATACATTATATGAATACACGTAAACGTGGTATAAATACATTGATAAATATAATGTCAAGATTTGGAGCAAGACGAGAAACAGAATCTTCTATAGCGCATAATGAAAGATTAGAATTTCTTGGAGATGCAGTTGTTGAATTTCTAACATCCATTCATCTTTTTCACATGTTTCCTGATTTAGAGGAAGGCGGATTAGCTACATACAGAGCAGCAATTGTGCAGAATCAACATCTTGCTGTTTTGGCAAAAAAACTTAATTTAGAAGAATATATGCTTTATGCGCATGGCAGTGATTTATGTCATGATTTAGAATTAAGACATGCGATGGCAAATTGTTTTGAAGCACTTATGGGTTCATTATTTCTTGATGGAGGAATAGAAGTTGCGGACAGAATTTTTGGTGAAACTCTTTTCAAAGATGAAGAAGATCTTGCCAAAATTTGGGTGAATTATCCTAAACATCCTTTGCAGGAACAGGAACCAACAGGTGATAGACAATGGATTCCAAGCTTTGAATTATTACAGGTATGATAAATAAATAAATATATATATATATATATTAAAAATTCATTATTTACTAACTGTTCATAAACAATATTATATTATTAGAAATTAACGAAATTTGAAGAATCTATTGGTATAGAATTCAGTCATATTCGTCTCTTAGCAAGAGCATTTACTGATCGTAGTATCGGATATACAAATTTAACACTTGGTTCAAATCAACGTTTAGAATTTTTAGGAGATACAGTCCTCCAACTTATAGTTTCAGAATATTTATACAAGTTTTTTCCTGAACATCATGAAGGACACTTATCTGTAAGTATTTTATATCTACATTGTATATTTATTTAATAACTCATTAACTATTTTCCAATTATTTTCAAACAGCTTCTAAGAAGTTCGCTTGTAAATAATAAAACACAAGCAGTTGTATGCGATGATTTAGGAATGACAAAGTATGCTCTTTATGGAAATCCAAAAGCTGAATTAAAAACTAAAGATAGAGCAGATTTATTAGAGGCTTTTTTAGGAGCCTTATATGTTGACAAAGGTTTAGAATATTGTCATGTTTTCTGCGATGTATGCTTCTTTCCACGATTACAAGATTTTATTATGAATCAAGATTGGAATGACCCTAAGAGCAAATTACAACAATGTTGTTTAACTTTAAGAACAATGGATGGTGGTGAACCAGACATACCAGTATACAAGTAAATATGAATGAATGTGTAAAATTTCAACTAATTCTTTTTTTTTTCTTTTTTTTTTTTTTGATTAATTGTATTAAAATTTTTACAGAGTAATTGAGTGTAAGGGACCAACAAATACAAGAGTTTATACAGTTGCTGTGTATTTTCAAGGAAAAAGATTAGCTAAGGCATCAGGACATAGTATTCAGGAAGCAGAAATGAATTCTGCTAAAGAAGCCCTTGAGAAAAGTCAAGGTAATGAAGAAATAAAAAAATCTTAATTATTATGAATTTTTCTATCTATATAAATTATCATTTATTACGTTATACAATTTCCTTTTTGTTTGTAGATCTATTTCCACAATTAGATCATCAGAAGAGAGTAATAGCAAAAAGTATGAAGATGCAACAATGGCCAAATAAGCACAAAATGAAAGATAAATTTACAAGATTCAGTGATAGATCTGATGATTCAGATTCTAGCCAACATCGTAAAAGAAGTCATAGTAAAACATAAGATCTGTGATATATTCATTCGCTTATAATCGAAATAAAATTTTATTGTTATTATTATGTTTTTTAACATAAAAAAGAAAAAAAAATATATATATATACATTCTTATCATTCTATGAAATATTTAATAATCGTAATAAAATTATAGTAATCGAACAAAATTATAAAGTAATCGAACAAAATTATTAATAGTACATAGAAAATTATTAAAAATATTCTACACAATTATGAAAACTTTCGAATAAAAAATTAATATAAACAAAATTAGATAAAAATCACATTACACGTGATATATGATAAGAAAATATATAAATTCTATTGTCTTTCCATAGAAAAATGTATGTATATTAAATATTACAAAATATATTCATGATGATGTTTATTATATACATTTTAAATGTATATCCATTCATTTAAGCAAAATTTATTCATCATTATTTATCAAGATAGGACTAGTTTGGTTTATTAAATAATCATTTTCCTTTAATATTTCTCTACATACTTTCATATTTTCTAGAATAGATATTATATCCCATTTTTTAGACAATAGTGCATGTTGTAGTTCAAATAATCCATATTTAAAACATTGTATTTGTGTACAAGTAGCTGTAGAACGAAGTTCTAAACCTAATTCGTGAATTAATGTTTTTAAATATTGCTCATTTTCATTGATGCAAACAATTTCTAAAAATAATATATACATATTTAAATATGTTAAAATAAAATTAAAATATTCCAAGAAATATATGTTATCTTAATCATTTTAATTTAACAATCTAATCTTACCAAGTGTGAATTCAGGAGGTTCAAAATTTACACATTTTATTTCATATAATACAGGAATTTCTGAATTAGCTGGTCTAATTAAACCCTGTACTGCTAATTCATATGCAGTTTGACTTTGTATATCTACTCCACATAATCTAAAATATTAATTTAAAGTATATATTAACAATATATTAAAATATATTTGAGTATATTGTAAAATTAAAAAAAAAATATATATATATATAATATATAAGTATACAAATTAATGCTTACTCAAACATTTTCTTTTGATGAGAAGATTGCATCGAGGCACATATTTTGTCAATATTGATTCTTCTGACATGATTGTATGTAGATTTTTCTATTATTTTACCTGTTTTAAAATGATTATTTGTTGCCTGGCCTAAGATTCCTTTGAGTCTATAACATCGTGAAGGTTTTGATTCTCTAATTTTGTTTATTAATGAATTACCACTGTTAATACCGCATATTAAAACACCACAACTATCTGTATATAAACGATTTGCAGAAGAAAAATTAATATCACTAGGTTGATAACGAGGTCCAACAACTAGTTGATTATCTCCATAATTAGGACGGACAACAACTTCGAGTTTTTCGTTGGTCTTTCCTTCAATCATTACATAATTATCAGGTGGTCTAACATCCATTTCATTTAAATCTATAGAAAAATATTTTTCTTTACAAACAGAACTGTCTTTATAATTTTATTTTTATTAGAATCACGTTTACCTCTACATAAATGTTTTATTATAGTTTCTCGTATACCTAAATAATGTGTTAATTCTGGTTTATATATAACAAATACACTATTTAATAAATTCCAAGCCACGCTCGCTTTACATGATATATGATGTTTGGCAGGTATTGGAAACATCATTTTTACTTATAAAATAAATATTAACGTTTTTCTGTATATTATGTTCTATAAATTATATTCAAATTATATTTTTTATGCTTGTAATATACAAATATATTTCAAAATAAACAATAATAAATTTTAGGTTATGATCTCATGATCAATCATATATTGAATTGTTCGCCAGATGTCGCTAGTTTAGAAATCATCTGTTCTTTAGGAAAAATATGATTTTGAAGACTAATGCATATATACTTCAGTTTTTAATTACCGGGTCTGTTAAACAACTGGGTATGTTCAAATTTTATCGAATAACAACTCTTAATGGATATATTAAAAATATTTTTAAACTATGCTCTATACGTTTTGATAAAGTTTGATGATTATAAATAAGTTGATATAAAAAATACGTTCTATTCAGATAATCTTGCATAACTTATATTTTTTTTTTCCTAGGAGCTTCTATTAATACTCGGTGGTTTGCCACAATGTCCGAATTACTTAATAAAGTTCCTGACGTAGATATCGATGCAAATGGAAAGTTTAAATACATGTTACTTAATATTCATGATAAAACTAACGATGCCTTCAAACCGGTCGTTAGAGGTTATACTAAAGCAGAATGGCATGGTAAGTAATTCATAATTATATTGACAATTGTATATTCGCTTAATAGAATAAAATGTGAATCACATATAAAAGAAAGAAATGTTAGAACAATTTGGATAATGTCCATGGGAATTTTGATATATTCTAGAATAGATCATAATTTGAATTCATTTCATTTCGTTATACCTGTTCAATGTATACTTCTTATTTATTGCATGGATGAAATAAAAACAAAGTTACAACGAATTATACATTTTTATGATATAATTATACGTGATAATTTAATTTTTATCCAAGCACTTATATTATATTATTTACAATATTAAAAACATTATATATTATACAGATTTATGAATTTATATTTATGACAATTAATTGCGATAAAGGTATTTTTTTTTTTTTTAAAGCTACAAGATTAATAATATTTTTCTCAATAATATTTTTTATACACATATAAAATGTGCCGACGCATTTGAAAATTGTATTTATGAAAAGGCTAGAAAATAATTTCTACGTACATTTCTTTAAGAAAAATACAGTTGTTTAATTCTCAATTTCTTTTTATTTTCTTTCGTCTTAATAAATAGCTTTGATGGAATGTCTATATTATTCCCTTTTTGCTTCTTTTTTTTTTCTGCAATGATAGTACCTTGAAAAAACATAGTAACTTTTAATTCCAAATATTTAGACTGGCAGTTGATATTTTTTAATTAGTTTCAAAGATTTACATAATAATATGAACGTATGTATTAAACATTTGGAAGTTCCATCAATAAATTCCATATTTGCCTTTTATATACGCTTATATTCATTATTTTATCATTATAGAATAATTACGTTCTGCATTATAAATCACATTTTTCTAAAAATTTCATTCTGTAGGACCAATTGACATATTCTTTTGTTTTAGTTATTACCATGAATCTTTCTCTATTTGAACGTAAAATCTTTTTATTTCTCCAAATATTGCCAGCTTTGTATATATTCAAATTGATATATATATATATATATATATATATATATATATATATACACATATATACATAACATTAATAAAAAAGTTAAAAGAGTAAAAAAAGCTCTAGATTCCCCGTACTGTAGAATAATAATTCAAAATCAGTCGATAATAGTCACGACAAATGAAGGAACCATTTTGGGAGTGTATAATCGTACCTTCAAAAAATATCTATTTTCTGGAATCATTTTCAATATGACTCATAATCAACACACACACACTCCATTTCTTTTTTTTCTCTTTTTTTTTTCCATCTATTATCTCAAATGTTCTTTTTAAATTCAAGACGCACTAAGAGGCTCTTCTGAAACAGCACCAAGCTCTTTGTATACTGAAGCCTAACTTACAGGCCTTTTGATTTGTATTCTTCAAGTTTATATTTTTAGCTTCGTTATTATTCTTTTTAGATTGTCGAGTAGGCTTCTCGTCACGTTTAACCTGGTCTCAGGTACTTTCCTCCTCGTCACAATGTTCTATAAGATCAACATCGGCGATTCTTGATTGTTTTTCTTTTTCCTGAATAGTCGTCAATTTTGATTCCTTATTCTTCATTTGATTACAATCATATTTATCTGGATGTTCATTTATATCCTCCATCTTTTTTAAAGATTTCGAATTTTCTCTAATCGGTGATGGAAATCCAACAAGATCTGGATCGGTATTAGTATGAGTTAAAGTGAATGGCAATTTCAAAGAAACGTCACCACCTATCGTTGAAATTATTAATTTCACCTGTTAAAAATATTAACGATACGTTTATAAATATATCCCATTAATTTTCTTATTTTATCTTTTTACTTATATAAATCTATATACATAGATAATAATAGATAATTTTTATCTTCAAGAATTACCTTCACGTAATATGATACGTAAATAGCAAAGACATTTCGATCTTCTGGTCCATTTCCAGGACTAATGATTGTAGAAGCTAATGTAGCACCAGCCTTTGTATAACTATCTTCCAAAGCAATCCAATTTTTGCTGGATCCTTTGATCGGTTTCAAAGTATAACATTTTTTCAAACTAGTTCCTGGTCCTATAGGGCAGCCCTCTTGAGAAGATACAATTGCTACCACGTTTTTAAATTTACCATTACTAAACATACAAACGTCGACATGTTGAACGACGAAAACCTGTACAGACAAAGAGAAAGAGAGAAAGAGAGATAAAGTTAGATAGATAGATAGATAGAGTGAGCGAATGAATAAAGTTCCTTTCGATCGATAGGAACCTCTTACCGAATAAATCCATCCAAATAATAGATTCAAACATTAATTTACATCGCATACAATAATGAAACGTGTTGCTTCGTGAATTCAAACGGATATTCTCGGTAAATACAAATTTATACAACACGCGTTATACGAGTATTATATAATAATTATATATTCGGTTATATTTTGACGTTATAGAAATAGTTAAAATTTAATCGACCATTTACCGAGATATCAGAATTAACGTCATATTCTCTCTAGTGGCTTTTATGAATAACAATAAGCAAAATGTTGTAGAATTTCCTCATAGTATGAGAATTCTATTATATATTATATTTCTTTGTGTGTGTATAAATATGTACATATATATATATATATATATATATATATATATATATATATATGTATTATCTTTTTGTCTAGCTGAGAATTAATCGAATGAAATATATTCCCACGTTTTATCGATTTTATACACTCTCTCTTTTCTTATCTCTCTCTCTTTCTCTTTCTCTCCCCCCCCCCCCCTCTCTCTCTCTCTCTCTCTCTCTCTCTCTCTCTAAATACTCCTTAGAAATATGGATTTTCCTATGGTAAACAATATGTTATATATTAACCGATTTATGTACACATGAAGCTTTACGTAAGAGAAATAAAATATAAGAGAACTACTGTCACTGCTAATATATATCTAAGCTAATGCTTTCACAACGTCACTCTACAAATTGATTTACTCATAGAAGGACGAATGTCGTTTAAGTTTGATCCTATCACAGACAGTAGTAGTTAAGAGTAGTTACTACTCTACTATTACTACTACTACTATTATGATGACAAGAACAACAAGAACAACAAGAACAACAACAACAACAACAACAACAACAACAACAACAAAAGAGAATCGACCACGTTTTACAGTCACGTTGGTCATTGTCGAGGCATTCTCCTTTTAAAACAATGACTACTGTCCTTGGTGAACAAGGGAAAGGACGTAATCGACTTGCTTGCTCGATTTTATAGAAGTCCGTATATATGTATATATGTATTTATGTATGTATGCATGATATATGTATGCATGATGTATGTATGCATGATGTATGTATGTATGTATTACCTTTTGTTTATTGTCTCTGTTATTTTGATTCGATTTTTTTCCTCTCTCTTTCTCTCTCTCTCTTTTTCTCTTTCTCTCTTTCTTTCTTTCTCTTTTATATATCCCACGTTGGGAAATATTCAAATTGAGACAAAAGGGATGAACAGCTGATATGTTCTTTTTCTCTCCTCTTTGTTTATTTTTTTTTTCTTTTTTTCTTTTCTTTTTCTTTTTCTTTTTCTTTTTTTCCTCTTTTTTTCTACTGTAGTAGTAAAGGTCAACGATAGTATTGGTTGTAAAGGGACGTGTAAAAAGAATGAGGAAAAAGTATATGTGTATAGGGTCGCGAAAAATATCACGTTTAATCTCTGCCATAACTCTTGGCCGAAATAACGGAAGAAGTTTAGGGGCGGAGGTAGTGGATGAATGAGGGTGGTCTTAAAGTGTTTCTTAGATGGTAAATATATCGTACATTTCCTTGTTCGAGTTATAATTTATAAACTTTCATCATGGAGAATATATTGCTTATCTTGAATTTATAAGTTCACATGTTCGAATGTTTATATTTATTATAACTTTAATTATTAATTATTAATTCGTTGCAATTCTATTGATTCTAATAGCTTCAAGAATATCATAGAATTTTTTTTTCAACATCGTATTTAACACGTTTTGGGTGAATTTTAAAGTGCTAGGAAAAAGGGAAAAATTAATTTTTGTAAGATCGTTGTTCGTTAACAAAAATGTTTATAAATTTTGCGTAAGGACAAATAGAAAAAATTAAAAAAGAAACAAAAAAAAAAGAAAGAAAAAAAAAATAAATATTACTGCCGTTTGATTAGAATGTAAAAGCTTATTTTTTTAAGAGTCAAAAATTTTTCGTAGTAAGACATTTTTTATTTTATTTTATTTTACTTTGTTTTATTTGTTTTATTTTATTCGTTTATTTATTTTTTTCTTTTTCTTAAAGGACGCTCGATAAATACACACATATACCATAGTAAATAATAGTACTCGGTAAAAACTCTCAATTTTTGTTTTCTAAAGAGAGAGGGAGGGAGAGAGAGAGAGAGAGAAATAAGAGGAGATGAAAAAAAAAACAGAACAATGAAATAGGTCTTAATGTATTTACTCGACGAAAACAGGCTAATTGTTGTACCGACACTCATTTAATTCAAATCATGCAAATTTCTATGTTAGTTACGTTTAATTAATTGTGCTTTGTTGTCTAATTTCAACGAAATTAGATTCGATTTAATGTCCTTTAGTATAGTTTAATAGCTACATATTATATAAATGGGATACATTAAGAATATACGATTTGTCATATTCTTTTTAACGTGTCCTTCAAATTTATATCTCTGATAGCCGAGCGAAAGAGTATAAGTTACAAAGGTTAGTATTAATTGGCTCATTATTTTAAATAAATGATTGGTATTTATAATAAAATATCAATACGTAATATAAGTTATACAACCTTGCCATTTAATTATTTATACTAATCAAAATATTCGACATATACTGATCATTTAATTTTATAAAATATTTAACGTTAATTAACAAAAATATTGATCAAATAAATATCATTTTATCCTGAGTAAAATTTATCCCAATTCGAAACAGTATAATTATATTAATATAATATTCCGTATTGTTGTTTTTTACTTATGGCATTTATTTATAATATTTTCTAAGTCCT